CGGTGGTTTCACGTAAAATTATTGTGAAAAATTTTACGAATTTTCGCGTGAAAACGTGAAAAATAGTAATTTTTGTACGTGGAAAAACGTGGGAAATCGTAATTTTCTACGTGAAAAAAGATTTTCACGTATAAAAAACCGCCACGTGGAATCACAAAAATCTAGGTCACGGGGACACGTTTTCCATAAATTCGGGAGAGGGGAAAAAAACGAGAACATCAAACGACAGGACGCACATTGTACTAATCTATAAGTACTCGAGTATCGTTCAAATCTCCCGCGCGCACTCTGACGCAATAGAGCGCACTTTCTCCAAATGGTCCCCTTATAAGGGGAGAAAGGGGAAATTTTGAATTTCAAAATTTCGTTGGACCGTATTCACCTAACTAGGTTAGAATCGGCTAAAGGGAAACCTCATTGGAGCGCATTTCCTCTCAACTTCGAAATTTTTACCAATTTCAAAATCTCATTGGAGCACTTTTTCTCCCTAGCTACTCGGATTAGCCATAGAAAAACATCTCCAATGAGCAAAACCAAGAGCAACCGGTCCCAAAAATCTCTCATTTCTTATTCGTCTCAGTTTGTTGTTGTTGGCTGGTGTCATGAGCAACAACGCGTGGTCCAAGAGAGAAAACTGAGCAATCCCGAACCACCACCAAATGACCCATTACACATAGCTACTACGACGTGTGTAGAGGTTGTTGCATTTGATGTGATTGGGGAAAATAGTTGCAAAAAGTGATAAGAAAAAAGGAAACCGAGAAAAAAGATATTCTCTGTTCCATCAATCATATCAACGACCTTGGGATAGGAATTCGACAAAAGGAAAACGATAAATAAATGGTTCAAATTTCATGCGGTCCAAAGTTCTTTTTTTTATAATTAGAGGGTTCCTAGGAACCATAATAATATGTACAAAAAAACGTGGTTGTGAGTGTGTGTGTTGCAAAAAAAAGAGTGTGTGCGTCTCTGCGTCTCTCACTCTCTCCTCGTGTATACCACGGAGTGAGGACGGAGACGGAATAGAACGAGTTATATGGCCTCTCTCTCTCTCTCTCTTTCTCTCTCTCTCTCTTCGTTTTGGGGGGTGAGCGTGGTGTGTATACACATCCATGCCGTTTGCGTGTATGCAGAGTCAAACGGAAGAGAGAGAGAGAGAGAGAGAGAGAGAGAGAGAAAGAGAAGAGCATCACTACCAGAGCAACATTTGTGTTACATTGACACTCATTGTACCGTGTAGCCAGAGACATGGCTGAGCAACAAGGTCAAGGTACATCGAACAAAATGTGTTGAGAAGCTGGTTTTTTTCCGGAAAAAAAGTATTCGCTTTTTTTTCTCAAAAACTCAGCTGATCGCCTTTTTTCGCTCTCTACGAAATAGAAGCTCAAAAAGAGCCAGTAAATTCGTTCTAGATTATCCTGATCGGCTTTGGACAGTTCTATACGGTTCTAGAAGGCTCTAGACAGTTCTGGACGGTACTAAACGGTTCTAGACAGTTCTAGAAGGTTCTAAACAGTTTTAGACTGTTCCAAACAGTTCTAGACTGTTCTAGAGCGTTCTAGACGGTTCTAGACGGTTTAAGAAGGTTCCAGACGATTCTAGACGGTTCTAAGGTCCTATTTTGACTTGATAGGAGTAATACGGTGAGAAAATTCGTTCTAGAAGGTTCTGAGCAATAAAACTTGTACCATTCGAATCGCCGAAAAATGACAATTATTTTGGAACCCAAAATTATCAAATTTTGAAGATTTTGAAAAATTGAAAAAAAAATTTGCCGCAGCACACTCTCCCACAGAACAATTCCGAACTGCAAATAAATTTTTGATCTACAGAAAAAAAGTTTGGCGCGATCACAATTGCAGGTCTAAAACCATAATTTCAGAATTTTTTACCTGATTTTGTGGAGGTTTTTTTTGATTTAAATGATTNTTATAAGTTGATTAGTGGTTATAGATTCATGTATGGTCGTTTTTCTGTAGAAAAAATGTTAAATATGGTCAAAAAACAACGCAAAAATGCTATTTTATGCAATTTCATGAGGTTTTTGAATTATAAAAAAAGTTTTATCAGACGAATTGAAAATTTATCCATAGAAAATGTAGAGAAAAAAAATTGCGGTTTTTTTAAGCTAGAAATGTCAAAAACTGAAAGAGGAGATAGATTTTTTCTGTAAAAAACTTTCAAAAATGACCATTTTTGACATTTTTTCTTCCCTAAAACGACCATACATGAATCTATAACGACTAATTGATTTTTTAAGAATCATTTGAATCATCTTGGACCTCCACAATATCAGTTAAAAATTCTGAAATCATGGTTTTAGATTGGTTTTTCCTGCGATTGTGATCGCGCCAAACATTTTTACTGTAGATCAAAAATTAATTTGCAGTTTGGAAATGTTCTGTGGGAGAGCGTGCGCAGAAGAAAAATCGAATTTTTCGTCTTCAAATTTCCCCAATTTTTGGCCTCCAAACCATTGTCCTAGGCTTAGAATATGGCTTTGACTCAAGATATCTCCCGCTACGAAAACTACAGTAGCTCCTTTCTACTGTAGCCTAAAATAGTCACCTTTTCCGATATTTTACATCTAAAACTCGAGAATCAGAGTTTAACGACTCAAAACTGCTCAAAGTCGTTCGAGAACCGTCTAGACGAATTTCGCTTAAAAAACTAAAAAAATCATAAAAATCCCAAAAGTGCCCGAAAATCCACATTATTTTCTTCTCGCTGTGTTCCATGGTCATCTACGGAGGTCACATGCTGTTGTTATTGGAGGGAAAGGGATAGAGAGAGAGCTCCGCTTCAAGGCCGACGACAGCGAAAAAAAAAGAGCCAAGTGGAATGGAAACGGAGAGATGGAGAAGAAAGGGATAAAGCTAGAAAAGGGGTCCTATTTTCCAGGAAAATCGCTGAAAAAAATAATGAAATTCGACAAAAAAATTGAGTCTAGAAAATGCCGAAAAAGGCCTAAAATTCTGAAAAAGAAATCTAAATTTGAAGAGAAGCACCGAAAAATCTAGAAATATGGACCGAAAATTTTGAAAAAAACTTCGGAAAAATCCAGTGAAAAACTTTGGAAAATACCAGAAAATTCAACAAAAAACCCGAAAATCCTTTAGAAATTTAGCGGAAATTCCGATTTTTCCACCGAAAAGTACTCAAAAAACTGTTTAAGCCCGATGAGAATATTTTTTAAGCAAAAAAAAATCAGCAGAAAATCGAGCGAAAACTAGCGGAAATGTTCAGAAAAAATCTGCAAAAAACCGCCGAAAATCCGAGAAAATAGCCTTAAAATAACCAAAAAAGTGTCTGAAAACTCAAAAAATCGATAAAAACACTTAAAATTCAAATTTGCTCCCGCCACGATTACAGTACCTCTTTTGATCGATTTTCCCCGTTTTTTTTTGAGATTTTTAGAGTATAATTAGCTGAATTTTTAGTTTTCAGCCTAAAAATGGATTTTCGGGTCAGCGGAAATTTGCAAGAATTTTTAAAAATTACCAAAAATCGAAAAAAAAAGTTTCGCGCCACTTTTCCTCCCCTTGGGTCCCGCCACGATGACTACAGTAATGCTCAAAACTCACCCAAAAATGTTAAAACCATCGGCACCGTTGGTTTGGTTGCTACCATTCATCGCGTCGTCTCGGAAATTTCCAGAATTTCCAGCCGACATTTTTTTTCGCAGATTTTTCTAGATTTTTCACCCAGAAGAGACAGCTGATGAGGGCTTATTTAGGTGGATTTTCCAATTATTGCCACGTGGATTAATTAATCCGAGACGTGACCCACCTGATTAGTTGCGTGAGTATTCTTGACGCTTCTGAATGCGTGAAGG